GTAGGTTTTTCAGATCGGAACTGCAGATTAGTCACTAAGTCGATACGATAGTCGTTGTTTGCCAATATTTCTGCTGACTCACTGTGATTAAATTGGCATCTTATTAGTCTGACTTTTTTGAATAATTAACTTTATAATGAAGTCATAATTGACAGGCGAAAAAGTTGACAGGAGGAAATATTAAAAATGGAGAAAAATCGATTTTGCTTGACCCCAAACTTTGTGAATTTGCTGATGTACACGCTGAGGTGTTGCCAAAATGTCCGTAGGTGTGAATGGTGTGTGTGAATGGTGTGTGTGCCCTGCGATGGGTTGGTGCTCCGTTCTGGGTTATTCCTGCCTTGCACTGACCATGTATGGGACAAGTGGTAGGCTTATATAAAACGAACGGACGAATGAATTGACAAAGTTGGGCAAAAGCTGCATTAAACGCAATGTGTGCAGTGTATTGCTAATTGTATCAGTTTATTCTAAAAGAACCTTAAGAGACCAAAGAAAATTATAAAGCTTGTGTACAATCGAAGCACCATTAAAATGTGATGGTTTATTAATCATTGTCTTCTGTGCCATTATTTCCTCTGAATCACTCCTCCTGTTCTAAACCAACAGGATACCCAGCTCCGGGTCCAGTGACCAATTCCCAAATCCGCATATACAGTATGAGGTTCTGCCCCTTTGCTGAAAGGACGCGTTTGGTTCTCAACGCCAAGGGTATCAAGTGAGTTTCAATTTAACCACAACCGCTGCTATAACAATATAATCAAACAGGCATGTTACATTCCAGAGGTGACAACAATGAACAGCATCACATTCTCATTTTCAGCTACTGTATGAAGTCATTAACATCCATCTGAAGAACAAACCTAGTTGGTTCTTGGACAAAAATCCAGCGGGTACCGTTCCAGTTTTGGAGACTGTGCAGGGTCAGCTGATCTGTGACTCAGTGATCACGTGTGAGTACCTGGATGAAATGTTTCAGGACAAGAAGCTCTTTCCTGCTGACCCATTTAAGAAGGCCCAACAGAAGATGCTGCTTGAGGAGTTCTCCAAGGTAGTAACTCACCTGTAACTAAACATATGTGTCAAAACCATGTTTCATTCACAGGACATTAGCTTCCCATTTTTTTCCAGCAGACTCATACTAAACAGTTGATTGAATGTTGGTTATGCTGTTGCCTGTGATCTGCATCATTAGAAAACCTGTAAACTCTTACAGACTCTCCAGAGTGAGAGTGACCAATTGCATTGACCGTCTGTGATTACCCAATAACGCATTACATTCTACTTAAGGTTATTGCCTTGATTTATAAAATCCCTATCGGGAAGAGCAAGGGTGAGGATACGTCTGCTGACGAAGAAGAACTGAAAGGGAAATTCATAAAACTCAATGAGGTTTGTGATAACCTGGTATTGCATTCTTGAGGTATCTACTGATGTAATGCAGTGTAGTGTTGTTTTTGGTCACTAAGACATTCCTTCAAAACAAATGTTGGAGCAATTTCTGCATGTGGATTTTATTTGTCTGAGTTTCCTGCTGCATTACTACTGGATTCATATGTGCATGTATGTCTGCTTCCCAGGTTCTAGTTGGTAGGAAGACAAAATTTTTTGGAGGAGATTCTGTGACTATGATTGATTACTTGATGTGGCCTTGGTTTGAGAGGGCCGATAGCTTTGGAGTGGCACGGTAAGTATCGCTTGTTACCCTGAATATCTAAGGTTATATTCTGCATGGCTTTGAGATAATCATACAAGCTGGGAGCCGCTATGATCTTTAAACTGTGATTTACAAGAACGGCTGTGGAGCATAAATGTTTCACGGTTTCTCCAGCCCCTTGGATGCAGCCCCGGCGCTGAAGGAGTGGATGAAGCGTATGGTTGAGGATCCCACTGTCAAGGCAACCATGTTTGATAGCGAGACCCACAAAGCCTTCCTCAAAGACTACTTTGATGGCAAACCCAACTATGACTTAGGCCTGTAGAGATTTTTCTTGTCTGTTCTTCTTTCATTCATTGTTTTCTCTTTTCTAAGAATCTCTTCTATATGACAGTTGTATATTATCTGTCAAATGATTTGCCAAATAACACAAAACTGTGTTGAGTCCGGTGATGATTAATCAAGTTGTGGAACACAGAGTTTCTGCTTTTAAATGTTTGGATTATTTGATTTGAATTGATTTGATTTGATTTGATTAGGTCCTTACTGCAGAAACCAGTTCCTCAGATGGTTCATGGTGATAAAGTCATTTGTAAAATCCATTTTGATATTAAAATTCGTACTGGTGATGCACCGAATTCTGTGATTTTTTTTTTTCCACTTTTTCATGGTGTGTGGGTCACTCCACGCCTCTCTTCTTCATTCCGCACACAGCGATGTATATTTGGTTACAGTTCACCCATGAGAATATCACTGTGCCAGCAGTTTAATGATCTTAGATACATTACCAGCAATAAGCACAAGATGTCTTTAATTAACATGCTGTCAGTCAAACAGTTTGGCTCTGGTAAGCGCTCCCAATTGGCTGTCTGGCGCACTCATAACACTGGCCAACAAATTTTAGGGAACTTTTTGTTTTTTCCATAATTTTTTCAAATATGTATTTGAAATTTTTGAATCAGGTAGGGTTTTAAAGAGAACTGCAGTTATGCATTTAACATGATAACATAATCAGTGGCATAGGCCTATGCTATAATACTGCAACGTAAGCAACAAAAGAGAAGATTAGAAATGTTTTGATGCAGATTTTCATTTGTAGTCACTGTCCGGGGCTTCACATATCAGTGTCCAACAATAGCCCCCCAGCATAGACGGACTCCACCTTCCCTGGTAACAATTCTCCATGTTCGTCACTGACTGCACCGAGATTGGCTGGGAAGAAATCCCAGTGAGAATGGAGAAAGTGCAACTTCAGTGACACGTTGCAGTTCATTGATTTGTATGCCTGGAGCAGACTTTCAACCTGTTTGATGTAGTTTGGTGCCTTGTAGTTACCGAGAAAGTTAGAAACGTCATTCTTGAAGGTGATCCATGCGACAGGTTCAACACCCTGCAGCAGGCCATCAAAATGACTGTCCCTCATCACTTCACGGATCTGTGGACCAATAAAGACGCCTTCTTTCATCTTGGCATCACTGATACGTGGAAACATCTGTCGCAAGTGCGCAAAGGCTTTGCCTTGCTTATTCATTGCCTTAAAGTTTTTCATTAACCCAAGTTTGATGTGCAAAAGTGGAAGAAATACGTTCTTCGGATCAACCAGTGGCTCATATGCAATGTTCTTCTGCCCAGGAACCAGTGTCTTTAAGACGTGCTTGGGTGCCCAAGTACATATGATGAGACAGATTTCCATGAAGAATTTGATCGAAATGAGTCTCTAGTATAAATTACATCAGTTATTTTTTTAAAAATACAATAGTTCTGACCTACTACTGCCAGGCATGTAAACTGGAATGCCCATTACTATGCAAACCACTCCGATTCTAACACTGCTTCCTAACTATTAGAAAATTAGCTGTTTCTCAAAAACCTTGCCCACTGGGAAGATTTCAAAGTTATTTCTGTGATCAGC